AGGGTCAATATTTATGGACCATAGAGCCATTTAGAGAGTCAAGGAAGATAATCCCTTGTCCCAGAATTCTTCAGGACATTTTGTAATTCTACCCATATTGCATCTAAAGTCTGTAGGAGTCCACAAGTAGATCAAGGCTTGTAGTTTAAGGCTCCCAGTCTTTGAATTCATAATCAACAAAATTTACAGGGCCCTTGATAATCTAATCTCACAAATTTATTACATGACAATTGCCCTCCAGCCAAATGAGAGGACATGAGGAATAGACTTAAATAAGTCTTTCTTATTATTTTCATTTCATTTCAGGAGTGGTCACAAAGATGCATACAGATGCACCAAATAAATAAACTTCATTCAAAGTTAGGAGTATTTGGGTGTAACTGAGATCACTGGAGACTGAGGCCGTGCAGGAGAGGAAACATGATGGCTGATGGGCTTTGGGTTCCAGGCAGAAGGAGGCTGAGGACAGGCGGCTGGAGATCCAAAGCCCATGCCGAGTGGGAGAGAAATGGAACAGTAACAGAGTAGCTTACATCCAAGGACTTCACAGATTAATGTCACCCCAGTAAATTCCATTGAAATAAATAAATAAACTCAGTGAGCCACTAAAACACAATGAAGTGATGTGATGTAAGTGACTGGTTATCAGGTGTTGCAGGCAGACTAGACAAAACTTTATTTCCAGGCTCAACGTACTCCCTAACATATCATGAGAAAAATAAAAAAGCAACAAGATAAAAACTACCCCTTAGATGAATTTGTATGGGAAGAAGAATGGAACATAATCAAGGAGAGCAACTGTGACGCTATTTTTGACAAAGAGCCATTGATATCCATTGAAATATCAAAGTTGAATTAGTCAAAAACACTACTAAAATATTCCTCAAATAGGAGAAAGAAGGAAGTATGGACTTATTTGTTCTAAAAGATGATGTGAGATATTTAAATATATATTTATATAAATATGGGCATATACATAAATATATATGTACATCTATGCACATGTAAGTTCACAGTGTTAGATAAACAACAAAATGTAAATAGCATACAGCTAGTAAATACTATGGGAAATGTTCTGTGAAAACTGGGCCAAGTGTAGATTTATAAATCCACTCAGCTATTCACTGCTTTCTTTACTACATTATTTCCAACTGATTTCCCCCCAGATATCTCATCTGCAAATAATGGTAAAGAAAGATCAAATACGCCGTTTATAATGAACATGACACCAGGTGAGAATCATCCTTTTAACCTAGGGACCACATGGAATGAACCCAGGTTGTGTGCAATTAAAACTGAGAGCAACTTCACTTTTCCCTGTGAGATCAAAGCACTCATGTATTTCCCTTAGACATAAGATACCCTATCATTTGGCAATGCTGTTATTAAAGGCTGGTATTTCAGATTTCTCTATCTCATACATTTTAAGGGGTCAGGGAAAGTGAACTCTATTTTTACATACTGAGCACTGGAAATTGCACCCTAATAAGATTCCATTATTCCCAATGCCATCATCTTGTAGAACTGACATCAATGAGTTTTATTAATGAATTTAAAGATGGAAATGAAGATGCCGAAATACCATTAAGAAAATAAGCTATTTTGAGAAAATTGTCTTGTTCTACAGCGGCTGCTCTGATATGTTATCTTGGGCTTTTTGTCAGGTCTGTAAGAGCCAGGGTGGCTTTTAGTTCTGCCCCTCACTGATGGAAAGAAAACTTCCTGAATTACAAACGAGGATTTCAAATGTTCTCATTCTGTTAAAATTCAGTTGGTATTCATCATCCTCACTGATAATGGAATAAGAATGGAAGTAAGTCTCTCTACTTCTGAAAGTTTTAGAAAGGTACAAATGTTAAAATACACTTAGTTATGTGTTTACTTTAGTGGTTCCAAATTGCACTTCTTCATGAAAGCTGCCTTGAACTGCATTGCCCGAGCCAACTTTTGGCAACACAGGTACTGTCCAATAGGGTAGCTGCTCATCAGATTTGGCTGTTGAACATTGCAGATGAGGCGAAGGCAACTGAGAAATTAAATCGGTCATCTTTTTTAATTTTAATGAGTTTTGACCATCACACTAAGCTAGACACTGCTGTTTTGGACAGTGTATGAAAGACAGAACAAGTGGCGGCGAGAGACATTATTGCCGACTTGTTCTGCCTGGACTCGGAACTGGGCTCCACAATCAGTCCTGAGACTTCCTGTGGAATAAGAGGAAAGGTTCGGTGCCCTAAATTGAACCAACTTTCCTTTTGCTCTTGTAACTTTTTATTTTAGAAGTAGCCTGTCTTCTCCCTCAACCCACTTCCATTGACACAAGGCTTTTAATCAATAATCAACCTGTAGGTTCCCTTCTTCAAACAGGGAAGATCAATAAATAATTGGGTCCTCATTGTCTGGAGCAAGAGAGCTACAAGGCTTCGGCTCTACCCACAAAGCCACTTCCCTTCTAGGTCTACTATAATTTCTGCGTTGGAACTACAGTTTTCTAACTGGCCTTTCTATCCCCATCTCCGCTGCCCCTCCCTCTACCCTAATCCTCTTCACAATCGGTGCACTCCTGGTATTTCCCAAACACGGCTCCAATACTCCTCACTTCTGTCAAATCCACTAGGACTCCCTTGTGTTTTCTGGGAGGAAATGAGATGAACTGCAACTCCTCTGCACAGTTGCAGAAGTTATGTTATGCTCTTGTTCTCTCATTTCATGCCCCAGTCACAATTTGATTCTCTGCTCCTGGAGCCTGTAATGGTGTCCCATTCCCTTGATCTTGCTAAGTGCTGCATGCACAGCCTTTCCTACAAAGCCTGGAGTGCCTCTTACCGCCTCTTCTTCCTGACCCTCGTCCTGGCCCCACTTTGGAACAGACACACACACACACACACACACACACACACCACCTCCACTATCAGCACCAACGTCATTTCAGTTACACACACCCATTTCCCTAGAAAATGTTGATTTCGGTCTCCAGGATGACAAGTATTCACCTCTCTACCTCCCAAGCCTTGTATCATGAGTTCCCTCACTGCCCCCTGCCACAGTGAATTGAAATTGTAGGGAAGAGATTATATTTTCTCCAGGGTCCTGTGAGCAACCAGAAGACAGGAACTTAACCTTTCTTCCCCATATCCCCAGTGTCTGAGACTGCACACATGGCCATCTGAGACAGTTGTGAAATATGTGGCTGAACATGACCAGATTGAGACTGGAGATCTAGAGGCACATGAAAAATTAGAATAACCTGAAGATAAACAAAAATCTGAATGTATTTTCAAAGCTTCCCATTTGGGAAAATATCAAAGAAAACATGATTTTGTCGATAAGTGCTCATGCATACATGTATATGCATATGTAAATATATACATTTGCATAAATGCATGCTTATGTATACACACATATTTCTATTTCATTGTTCCTAATAAGTAGATAAGCATGACATGCAGATTAAAGATGCCTTTTAGGATCATCCAGAATGAACAGAGTTTGAACTGAGCAGGTTACAACATCACTGAGGAAGTAAGTGCCGCTGCTACGGAAGGGCTCCCCTTGGTTAGAAGGAAATGAACACCCTTGCATTTCTCATGTATGCAGGCATTCTACCCACGCTTCCTCCTCTCCCTCACCACAGGAAGAGAGAGAACTTCTTGCAGTTATTTCACCAATCATTTCATACTATGTTACGAGTGTAACACGAAGCTTGTTCCAGCCCACACTTTCTGAATATCAGTACCTTGTCTTCACTGAAGCCCTTATCCACAACTGCATCCATAAATAAAGTTAAAACCCCCAGATAGAAATAATTTCTTTTATGATACAGCACACCTATGAGTGAGCCTTGCAGGCATTTTAAAAGTATAATCATGATGTGGTCTATAAAATAACAATATTTACTTTATTGTGCTAAAAAAATACACTGTAACTCCCTGATGAGGCCATGCCCCATTGAAAATCCCTGCTGAGGAGCACTGCCAAACAGCTCCGCTGTCGGGCCAGTAAGCCACCCAGGGGATGGTGTCAGTGAGGAACAGAAGCCAGGACAGGGTCCAGGCCACCCGACACACTAGAAGTCCGAGTACCTGGGATGCCAGGATCTGAGCGACTTAGAAAATCAAGAACTCAGAACTCAAATAGCATTTTTTGTCTCTACTGAAATATCAGGGAGACAGAAACCTCAGGCAGGGAATTATGTCTTCTTTTAACCAAGGGAGTTTCATTGGAAAACTGTGTCTTAAACTGCTTCAGCTCCTGGATGAGCACAGAGCCCATGGCATGCTGATAGTTCTCTATTCAGTTTAGAAGAGAGAGTCCCAAGTAATTACATGAATGTAAGAGTAGGCACGAGATAACTCAGAGTAGCAAGCAAAATAAAAGTTACTTATGTTCATATTTGAAGCTCATGGATTTAAAACATTATGGAAGCACATTTCAGAAGAAGTGTGTAGGTGCCACATCCCACCTTATAATTTAACTGCCGACTGAAAAAAAATGTCCTTCTCATGTTTTGCGGGATTTATACAAGTGTTGGTGACTCATGTGTGCATGGAAATTATTTAAAATAGAATATTTACAAACGGCGGATTTGAGTTGCTCTCAAAGAAGTTATTCATGCAAAATGATGTCCCACAATCGAAAGTTTGAAAAGCAATCATCAAACAATTGCCCACAGAAAACAGACTCTGCCAACAGCGAATAAAAGAGATCACCAATGTTATAAATGCGTAAGTGAAATTTACGTAGCAAGACCAATATAAATACACTGGACGAAACAGAAGGGTTTGCCCATGGGTCTATTTTTCTTCATTATTAAAATGACCTAGCGTGAATCCATTACATTTTGTGGGAAATATCATTAGAATGAATAAATTTAATCAAAATCATAAAGTAGTAAGCTACATTTAAATATAATATTAACTTTCCCACACATTTAAGTATAATAAAGTTGCAAATATTCAGATGCAGTTTTTAAAAATTATTGCACATGCATAAGCACTTACTGTTATTCCCCTGCGGCAAAACTCTAAATCCACCACAAAATCTTGAAGTTACGGCCTGTTAAAAAGTCACAAAAACAGGAATATGTTAATTTAAAATGCATTAAAGTCTAAATTGCAATAGCTCATAAGATTCTTTTATGTTCATGAGAAATATTATAATTATCATCTCCTGCTTTTTGTTTATTTTCGTGAATTAAAAACTACAAAAGGCAAATGAAAATTATTTCTCCGTGTACGCCCTATATTAAAAATACTCCTAAAAAATGAAAAGTAAATTTCAATTACAGAAAAACAAAAACATCCTAGTTGGATTAAAAAAATGTACTCCTTCCCATGCATCCCAGTAATGTTTATTGGTAATCTGATCACTGGTTTATAGTAACTGAATAAATAATAGTTTGCGTTACATGATAATTAGAAACATGTTTTAATGTTTATCTGGAATTCTCTTTGATTGAACAAATATTTCTTAACCCATCAAACAAATTTGAAAATGACATTAGGAGAGAGATCTAATCAAACTATACAGACACCACTTCTGAACAGTTCACAACTGCATGATGGTACTACCAAGTCAAGTTTTCACTTAATATTTGATCAATTTACTGGAGAAACAAATAAAATAAATTATTTATCATACACTTGATTTTGAGTAACATCTGCATATTTGACCTGAAATGGAGAACTTAAATAATTATCTAAATCACTCAGGCCAAAAAACCAATTTACAAGAATTATTCAGCTCATTGGGTCAGGTACAATTGGAGAAATCTTTTCTTTGAACTATTTCCTAAATTCTAAATTTACTTTTCATGGTTGGGTGTTGCCAAATACAAACACACACACACACACACACACACACACACACTGACATGGTTTGAATTAGCATCACAAATAAAAACATCTGAAAATATGTTTATTAGAATTTTAACCTTAAAAGAGACAACATTCTCATTTTTCTGAAAATATTTAAAATTATAATTGAACTGAAAGTTGATTTGGACATAAGTATCATTTCATTGTAATTATGCATTTTATCTGCTTATCCATTTTAACTTATTTTCCTTTCCCAGGCATGTTAATAGCACAGGGAACTTTCAAAGCTTATTTCAAGTAATAGACTCAAGGAGAGTTTTAAAAGCTATACCGTGCCAAAATATCTCCTGCTTTATACAAAATTGGAAACACGCTATTTATTTAACAGGCACTTTGTATTTTTTTTGGTCAAGTAATCAGAATCTGCTGACAGAGTGTAACCTAAAATGTCTCTTTATATATTTCTTCGTTATGCTAAGATTTTTTAAAAATAAAAGTTGGTTTTAGAGAAAAATAATACTTTTTAAAAGAAGAGCAAATATATTAAATTCTTTACAATAAAGCTAAAAAATAGTCTTCTGTTATATAGGCCAAATAGAGGATAAGGATTTTAGAATAAGGATTTTAAGATAAGGATTTTAGGATTTTAGAAAAATTGTCTTACTCAATGGAAAAACTCTACTACCACTATCTGATTTGCTCAGTTGAGAGGGAGAGGGTATTAAATCTTGAGAGTAGAAGCCATTATTAAATGGGAGGGAATGAGTAGCTTCTGATTTGAAGATTCATTTTGCACTTGAGGCGGTCGAAGGAAAGCAGCCACGGGATGAAACACACATAGTACTGTCTTCGACACACATACAGTCCCGTGCTTCAGTACGATTGCTCTCCTTTGGTCAGACGTCCTACCTGCGTGTGCTCTACCTGGTACCACTGTGGGTCCCCTCACTGTGGAGGTATTTCACTGTGGGTGTTTTTAAATGAGCGATGTGGCCATGGCTGCCCGGCAAGTTGGAACGGGTGCCCCAGAGCCCTGTGCTCTCCTGGACCCCTCCCCGCCTGCATCTCAGACCCCATCGCTGTGAAACTTCTAGGTCTTTCAGGAGCCAAGGCTGAAATCCAGGCCCCATTTCCATTTTCTTTTCTTTCATTAAAAAAAAAAAAGAGAGCAGACACAGGAAGATATATGTTTCAGGGAAAGAAAATGGAGATGCAAGATAAGAAACAATGTATGGGATCTGAGTCAGAATAAAGGGAACAGAGAAAAGGACCACAAAGTGGTCCTTTTGCAAAGTATGTGCTGAAGTTATAGGAAGCTACTTGGGAAATGAAGCCCTGAAGGGAAGCGGCTTTAAGAGAATGAATACTACAAATAAATGAAACTTCATGACAACGAGAACGTCTTCATCTCAGATGCTTGATGTGCCTATTGCATTTAAATCTCTGAATTTCTGAAGTTTAGGTGGGTTTACATGATCCAAGTGACTCAATCTGAGAAAGATTCTAATGCAGTTATCTTCCAAAGACTAAAAAAAATAAAACACAGGCTCCTGTCTAAGCAATTCAGGACATCTGGTCACCCTTATGTTATGATAATTGCCTTCAAATCCTGCCACATCTTAAATTACAGAGGTTGATATGCTATAGGAATGGACTCATAAAGTAGAACTCTGTTCCCCAAACTGTGACCGTGGTGCCAAACGCAGTCATCATCCTTTTGGTATGTTTTTTTTATTGTTAAACTGCTGAGCATCTAATTATATTTGAGAGAGAGAGAAAGAGAGAGAAGAAACAAGAAAAATAACCCTTGTGTTCAAGTAGCCATTCTAGGATTCACACCCCAAAGCCTGCGGAGTCTGTTCGGGGATTTTGGCCCACTCTGAAGTCCCTTCTCTCCTTGAGAATGTTGGAAAGCTCTGCACCAGACCCCGGCTCCAGCTTGCCAAGAGACATGCTGGTTTCTTGGTATGGTTTCTTAGCTCTCTTGCTATTAGTGCATAATTTGAGGGTATGCTGCCAAGGTAACAGAATTCAGTAAGGGCTTTCAGTTCTGTTCTGCCAGTGAGGAATTTTGGCTGTGTGTAGTGCTGGCCTCTGAAGATTGATCCATAATATTTGTCTGATAAAGCCTTGTCCTCTCCTAGTACCACTGATGCAACAAAATAATCCGTAATGAGCCAGCTTCTCCCAGCATGGGCTGCTCCCCAAGGGTAAGTCAGGCACCACTGAAAGCCACATTAACTTCTTTATCATCAGACTTGGGTGCTTAAAATAGACGGCTTGAAAGTGGATACATTAGGCGGTTCCATCTTGCACCATTGGGGTCGTGGAATGGATCGGGATTGTAATTCTTAATGTTCATTCTCTACAATATCCCATTATGGGGGGGAGGGAAATCTTCCATATTCTATTTTCTTTGTAGTCATTTTCAGAGGCTAGGCTTGCTGGAAATAGCTGTGGTTGATGCAGTAGAGGGGAAAAATGTCTCCATGTCTTAACCAATATTTTCCCATATGGTTTTAGTAAAAAAAATTAACATACCTCCTGTTGTTTTCAGCTATATTTTAATTCCACATAATTACATTGTGACCACTGGTACTGCTTTCAACTAAGGGATTGTTTCTTGGTATTTTTGGTGGGCTGGTCAATAGTAATACCTTAAATATCCTCTGAAATCCTCTCTTGCTAATGACGCCAAAGTTGCTGGGCCAATCCCATTCAGGACTGGTTGTTCAGGATGAATAACTAAACGACCCTTTATAAATCTGCAAGGAGAATTGGCTTTCTGCTCTGAGGAAGGTGTGGTCTTGGGGCCTCAGTAGAGGTGAACCCACAGCCTCTGTCCAGTAGAGGGGGACACAGGGGGCCCCAACACCACCACTGTGATGGGCAGGGGTGGCTGAGTAGCTCTTTGACAGAGCAAGCCACACATATCAGGGCCATCAGCTGGCACCTGAGAAAGGCACAGACCACTGTTCCATGTGACCTTTTTGTCCAGCACAGTTTCCCAACATTCTCTCCCTTTAATTTCCTATTCTTCTCCAAGACCATAACTTACCATCTTTCCTCACGTTTTGAAACACTACTACATTAGCGTATCGGCCCTTATGGACTTCTTTAAATTCTTACAAATCTTTCACACTGAATAGTTTCTAGCTCTTCCTAGGAGATGTTATACGTATTTTTTTTCATTTAGTTGGTTCTTTCTGCTAAATTCAAAAGGTCATAATTTTGGTCTTAGCAGGGCTATTCGAATCTCAGAGAGTAGGGACTCTCTTGTTAAAAGTGCCGTATGCAATATAATAGTGTTCCACTCAGGACACGTACCACTCATCGTGAAGTTAGTTAGCATTGCTCTCCTTCATTTCTTTGTTTTTTCCTTTACCCACCCACTCTTTTTCCTTCTCCCTACTTTTTTTCTCCCCCTAATTCCTACCATATTTATTGATCGTCTGTCCTGTGATACACTGCTAAAACACAAAAATAAACATAAAAACAAACACAGCATGACTCACAGCCAATGGACATGGAAAGCAGGAATGAACGGCAGGCGGCAGGTCCACTGGGAGAGCACGGTAATCAGACCTGTCAAACGCGTTTGAAACAGACCTTTTCCTATAAGAATTTGCTCAGGATGAAAAAACGTGTCTGTGCTTTATCTTGTTAAGGGTCCTGCTTGTTTAGGTTTGTACAATATGAATTTTTAGGTTCTATACTTCAACACCACATGAACGTTGGCAAACGGCAATTAGCATTTGATGAGAATTCTGGGTTTATGAATTCAGACATTTGCATTATATAGTGCTTACAAACAATATCAAAAAGCAGGGTACAAGGCTGCACGTAAGCAGTGGAAGAGAAGTCTGCTGAGGGTGCCCCTCCCCAGGGGGGGAGGGGGGCCGAGGGGCTGGGGGCCGAGGTGGTGCGGTCTATAGTTTATGTTCATGTCAAGTCACGCAAGCAAGTGTCCAGCCAAGGAGAACAAAGACAGCAAGAAAATTCTGGGCAGTTATTTTATTTTAAATAAAGGCTACTTTCTCTCTTTGATTGCTTTCACTGGAGACATGTTATCTTGCTTTGAACTTAAAAAATATATACCCAATCAAAGGTTTAATATCTTCTACTGCATGTTTACATAATCAACAATGTTTTTCATTGCTTTCATGTTTGATCTTGTAATTACAGTATATGATATCCACCCCTATATAAAATAGAAATAAATATCTATTTGTTTCT